AAGCTTTGTTCACGAGATCCTCCATATCCTCCTTTTTGTCCAACCACTCACCATCTGTGCCTCTAAGACGCTGGATCATGTTCTTCTTGGAGCGCCGTGCAGCTTTCTGGTGAAAATACTTGGTATTCCGATCCCCTTCACGCATCCAGGCAATGCGAGAGCGTTGGAACCACATCATCTCGTCCTTGTAGAGAAGTTCATCCATTTCCCGGCCTATTATCATTCTCTCCTCTGCAGCTAGTTCAGACTGATCGGTGAGAAGAGCTTCCAGTCGAACTCTCTGTTTCTCCAATTCCTCAGTAACATTCCCTATACGCCTGCGGCCGCAACCATGTAGCGAGCCCATCAAAGATTTCAGGTTACCAGCAAAATCACCCAGACTTCCCACCGGTCGGGCCCGCTCCCAAGTCTCCATAACCTCTTGGAAAAAGTCCTCTCTTTCCAAAAAAAACTCATACCATCTGACATTGCTCCCCAACCAAGTGTCGGACTTGTGCATCCGGAAACAAGGACATCCATGTCGGATTTGCCACTCCCCTATCCAACTGGATTTTAACATTTTGACCACCCCGTTGTTTATTATCATAAGTCCAAGGTAGCCCAATAAAGTGAATGTCAAAGAGATCACAATGGGATAATACCTCTCTGAAATCCATCATCTGGTTCTCCGGTCACTTAGTGTGTGAGTAATGTTCACCTTGCCACATTGCTTCATGCCTATCATCAGCCATGGAGCATTTGAATGTGGCTTAATCCAATGTAATAAAGTCCACATAAGGTGCCTATCCAGCACCCTAGGTTTGCTGTACACAAAAGTTCCCCGCCATTGGACCCCATTGGGTCCTTCCCGAACAAGCACATCAATATGATGCTTCCTGAAAGAGAGAAGCTCCACCACAAGGTTTTCATCCCAGAAAAGCCCCAAACCTCCACCTTTGCCATCTCCATTAACTGTGAGACAATGTTTCAACCCTATCCGCCATCTTAATCTTCGAATGTACTCGCATTCCTGCCTAGTTTCAAACAGAAATACAATCTTAGGCTTATGTTTTTGAAAAAGGCAGAGCACTTCCTGAACTATCCGGGGTTTCCTAAGTACCGACAGTTCCAACACAGGGTATACATTAGGCCCGACGGAGCTCCTCAAAGGAGCCCGCCGATGTTGCCAGTTCATTTGGGTTCAGTTGAATGTTTTCCACCATTTTCTGCCTCTTCATGTCCCTGCTAAAAGCAAAATCATCTACATTCTCCTCATCTTCCCCTCCCTCCTTCATGTTGACATTAGCCTCTAATACCTCTCCATTCAGGGTCAGACCCATCCTCCCCATCAGGTTCTGTGTCACAATGCTCAAGGGTCAGACGCCTCTTACTCAAAGGGTTTGATCCCTTCTGATTCTTCTTAGGCTTTGAAGGACTGATTGCGGCGCTCTTAACGTCTTCCCCTCCTGGCGTCCAGAAACCTCACCTTCTGAACTTCAGAGCTATTATTATCTCTGGGTAGACTATCGCCTCCGGTGGGTGCACTCCATCACCGTGTTCCTTGGTCACATGTCCCACCAATCCACACACTCCACAAAACATAGGCATCTTTTCATACATAAGCTAGCCTGAAGAACATCTTCCTTTTGTTTAATGTCGCTCTGGCTGCCCGCGTGAGGGGTTTTCGCACATCAATGAGCACCCTCACACGAACACCATCGCCCCTACCCCGAACTGAGTCAGTATCCAGCTTAAGAATGGTACCTGCATGTCGGGCCAATTGATCGAGTGGCAATACTTCCAATCCGGAACTTCTCCTTTAGGTCGTGCACTTGAACCCATGCGGGGAATGTTTTAAGTTCAACTGTCTCAACATCTGCCCAGCCATCATAGGGTGCCAACAACAACGAATAGCCTCTGAAAATCCGAGGTCCATTCTCCATTATCTGTTCCAGTCAGCCAGGCAGTGAAATTTAATCACGAACAAGTCTCCTTTCACCGCTCGAAATTCCACGTTCTTTGCACAGTTCCATGCAGAACGCATGATGCCGAAGAAGGCACTATGACTAAACGTTTTGGTAGTACGAACCCTAGCAACAGCCAACCATCTGGCCGCGGCTCCCAGTTCCTCTAAATCTTCCTCACGTATTACGTCTTCCACTTCATCCTCCCTTAAGTCAAGCCCTTTCAGCATCTCTTCAATAGGCTCCACTTTCACTCCGTCATGTTTCAAGTTCGTCTTCCAAGAGTTCACAAACGCAGGTTGATCTGATGAAGAACTCTCACCTGCCATGGATTCCTTTCTTGATAGAAGGTGTAAGCAATCCAATCAAGGCACGATCAAAAGCGGTAGAAAACTCCAAGGTATTGCCTTGGAGGAGAGAAACCCTATTAGGGTAAAAAACCAAATGGGGTACACTGCATTTGCCATTTATTGTGCGACTTGTGACACCGCGCCCGAACGTCCTTGAAAATTTGATTTAAAAATTCAAAGTTTATGTATTGGATTTCTGTTTCCCAAACAATTGTAAAACGATTAATGTTTTACGTAATTAATGATCGATTAGTGTACTGTTCGAACTCGTATATTAGTGACGGGCATGCAAATACTATTTGGGTCTTATTAATAAATAAAAGAGCCCAACATTATCCAAATTGTGATACATGACCTTTCAAGACAGTCCGAGTAAGGTCGGACGGCCCAAACGTTATTTTGAGTCCAACCTGCTAAAAATAGCAAGTATTCGAGAATGGCGTTCTAGACCCACTCGGGAGTGACCCACATGGCTAGTAGCCCATTAATATGTATGACAAATGTCAAATAAGTGATAGAATGATTAAAGAAGAATACAAATGCCTATAACCCCATCTTTGGCATTATTGAGCTAAATAATGGGAGTAGGATTTTCCTTCTATAATATCCATCAAGTAAATTATTGGGATGATCATACACATAATGGAGATCAATAATATGATGTAGAGAGTTGACTTGTTCTAAATAAATTAGAATGAGTACAAAGAGACATCTTATGACAAAGAGATCAAAAGTGAGACCCACCCATGTCTAAAAACATCTCATGGAGACCATACCAATTCATTTCACTCCACACAACTTATTCACCCTTATTGAAGGGTCTTGGACACTCCCTTAAGCCCCTCATTCGAACTCCCAAGGATAAGGGAGAAGGAGAGAGCCACACAACCAAGAAAGCAAGAGAAAGGGGAAGCTGCCGCAGGTTCGTTTTCCAGTGCGTAAGGTTACTTGTTTGCTTCATATCTCGAGTTATACACATCCAAATAAGGCGTGCGAGATACCCACAGAAAGCTCTCAAGACGAGGAATCCGTGAAGGTCTGGTTTGCATCAATCGGAGTAGTGTAAGGCTTCCAAATCGTCCGAGCAAAACACAACCTCGCGGAATACGTTTTTGTATTCAAGGTAAGTTTGAATCCAAAACTTTCCTCTCTATTGTCTAAACCATATAAATGATTGAAGAACTATTATACACTGATTGAAGTGTATAAAATGTTATTATAAAGTGACTTTAATTGTTGGAAAAGTTAGATACTAATCTAGACAAAACCTTGAAAGGTTAGGGAACGATTTCGTCGGGAACACCCGTTCTAGGGACTGTTTTTGTGTCCTCGGTTAGGAGTTGAACTAGCACTTTGGAGAGGCTGTTTAACACTCAATTCCAAGCAAGGAATCAGTTCTCAATCTTCCTTGGCCAAAGCTTTGACCATGGGATCAAGAAAGAAAGGTTTGAAGCTCAATTAAGGTGAGGATGACCGACTATATTGCTTATAATTATTGGGTTAATTTCATAAGATTACCTAAATGAATTATATGTGTTTGGCATGATTTATTTATAATATAACAAAATGCCTAAATGAGATTATTATTGTTTATAAGTAAAAGTGCATAATATACAAATTTATGAATAAATTGTGTATGATTATGTATTATGAATACAATGGTATAATAGCGTGTAAACTATAAATGAATTGTGATAAATATACTTTTACCTCATGTAAGGAAGTCATGGAAGGATAAAAGTGATATTTTGATATTAGAACCAAGTTATACTTGAATGTGGAATTAAATTGAAATAGCCAAATTACTATGAAATTGCATTGGCTTATTAAGGTTAAATGATTAGTATAGAAATACTAGCCGGGGATGTTAGCGTAAAAAGTGATAGAACAAATCCTAAGGGCTTGGATTGTGAAGGATGCACCTTAAGTAGTCTTATGAGATGTCTTAAGGTAGGAATGGGTAACCGCTAAATTACATTAGGAGTAGGCCTCATAGGCTACTCAAGATAGAGAAAACCTAGGCATAGAATTTGCTTAGTGAGTAGTATCGTGACTAGAGGAAGCCTCTAGCACGATGAGGAATGACTGGAGGAAGCCTCCAGCATTCGTGTAGGACGACTAGAGGAAGCCTCTAGCGTAGTGTAAGATGACTAGAGGAAGCCTCTAGCATAATGTAATGTGACTGGAGGAAGCCTCCAGCACAAAGTATGAAAGGTGATTAGAGGAAGCCTCTAACACCGAATGTAGTGACTAGAGTCAGCCTCTAGCACGACAAAACATGACTAGAGGAAGCCTCTAGCATAATGTAATGTGACTGGAGGAAGCCTCCAGCACAAAGTATGAAAGGTGATTAGAGGAAGCCTCTAACACCGAATGTAGTGACTAGAGTCAGCCTCTAGCACGACAAAACATGACTAGAGGAAGCCTCTAGCATGGTAAACTGATATAGATGGGTGTGGCTTGAAGTCACGGGGGAGGGGTTAAATGTTTTCAAAGTAAACATGAGCCTTCGGCCGACTACTTGACTTTATATATAAAGTAAGTATATTTGTAAAGAGGGTAACCACGAGTTATGACCTATATTGTAATATCACCCTATTTGAGGGTCTTGGAAATTGAAACGTTGATTATACTTAGTATAGTTGTCATTGTACTTGTCAAATGCTTCCAAGTACTGACCTCCCCTTCACGGGGGAGGCCACCTCACAGTTTCAGGTAGGACTTGAAGGTTGCTACCACGCCCGTTGCTTCGGGAAGATCAAAGGAGGAGGACGTGGTTCGTGCTTCTTCCGTTTCTGTTTTAAACAATTACAATAATGCTCATGGAAATTATTTTGAATACTATTTGGGGGCTTGTATGCCCATGTTTGCCACGTGTGGCTTGAATACGTGTATTAATGTTTCCGCTGCTTTAAATGAATATTTTACATTATGTTTGTTTATGGATGTACTATGTGTGAATGGTATTCAAGACGCCTAGTATAGTATGTATGAGTTGGACTGCGGTTGACTATTCGTACTGTACGGCGGGTTGTTGACGTGTCCGGTAGGTCCGGGGCGTGACAATTTAATTGGTATCAGAGCCTTAGTCCATAAACTTCATAATGAAGTCTCAAAATTCTCTTTTCAAAATGATTTTTGAAAACCATGAGCAAAAATGTTTTGTACTTAAGAACTTTTGGTGTTTGAGTTGCAAGGTCTCTAATTGTTAAGATGGCGCCCTTAACGATTGGTATGGCGGTGACTTGGCCCAAGAGATGTCTTAAGTGCCTATCTGTCAGTTGACATTTGAAACGAGTCTAATGACTCATTCTAATTATTTCTTTCAGCGATGGAGGGTGATGGTGGTATTATGAATAGGGAGAACTCGGAAGGGTTTGCACCGGGTGGAACCGGGCATGCCAACCGAGAAAAGCCCTTAGGACCAAAGGTGCACGAAACTCTTGAAGCTCAAATCGTGAGTGGTGGTCATGTTAAGACCAAGGAAGAATCACCTTGTTATGGCAAAACTGAACCACTCAAGGCTTCGGGTGACGAAGGAGATGATTTGAGTGATGAGGACCTTGATGGTGCACCCATTGAACAAATGGGCATGGTCATAGATTGGCTTCAACGTGAACGTGTGAGGCTTATACAAAAACGCCAAGCTAGGCAAGCTGAGGGCATACCATTAGTAAGGAAGAGGAAGCGGGGAGACAACGATTCCCAAAGACATTCAAGGAGGACAAACGTTGAGGGTGACAAAACCTTCAGGGCGCAGACACTATCACTTGAGTGGAGTCGAGGCTTGGGTGGCCCGAACTCGAGGTCAAAAGGTTCGAGGGTACCTAAGTGCAACAATTGCAAGAAACACCACTCGGGTAAGTGTCAGGACCCTCCCAGGTGCTATCAATGCACAGAGGTCGGGCACACGAGAGTGAGTTGCCCACAAATTGTGCAAAACCAAACTTCGGGGTCAAGTGGTGGAACTACAAGAAATGAAAACCAAACCGAGGTTTCTCAAGGGAGCAGGGGACATGGGGGAGCAAGCACGAGCAACGCGCCATCCGTGAACCAAGGAAGGACCCAAGCTAGGGTCTATGCGATGACGGAGGCGGATGCTCAAGCTAACCTGGATTCCGTTGAAGGTAGTACCTCTTGTATACTTGTTTTTTATCCTTAATTAGTCCATAAATTGAGGTTGCTAGTCGTTGGGATCGTTGCACGAAGCTTGGGGGTCAAACGGAGCGAAAATCGGGTGAAAGACGGCTGATTTTTTGCCAACGCACACCAGGCTGGACCATACGCACGGCCGTGCGTTGTCCGTGCGTTGGTCCGTGCGTTGGTGGCAGTAGCAACCGGGAAGAAATTGCTATACGCACGGACGTGCGTTGTCCGTGCGTTGGTCCGTGCGTTGGTGGCAGTAGCTCCGTTTTGAGGTTATAAGACACGCACGCCGTGCGTACCTCCTAGGCACGCCGTGCGTACCTCCTGGACAGCCCAAAGTCGACTTTGTTTGCGCCGTATTGCAACGTTAAGACCCGTTCTTGATCTCAAACACGTGTGTGAACATAATAAACCTCTCTAAATGAGTAGGGAGGGTAGGAAAGATGTCTTACATGGTTCATGAATGTAGGGACACTAAAGATTAATGGGAAGGATGCGCGAATCCTTATCGATACCGGGGCGCAACGTTCATTTGTGAATGAAGCGTTCGCCAAGAGTTTGGAAGTGCAATCCGCACCATTGATGCAAACCTTAGTGGTATCAACACCACTAGGGGATGACGTGGAAACAACTCGTTACAATCCATCTTGTGGGGTGGAAGTTAATGGTCAAACATTGACGTGTGACTTCGTACCGCCGAGCATGATTGAATTCGATGCAATCCTAGGGTTGGATTGGCTAGAAAGGAACCATGCTAGGGTAGATTGCTACACGAAGGTTCTTAAACTCGAAGGCAATGATGGGGAGACCCTACGCTTCGAGGGCGATCGAGGGAGATCAAACAGATGTATCATATTCGTCGTGAGAGCGAGAAGTAGGATGAGAAAGGGATGCCACGCATATCTAGCATACGTGGTTGACATAACCAAAGAGGAAACGAACATCGATGATGTGAGGGTGGTTTGTAAGTACCCGGATGTTTTCCCTAAAGACATACCGGGGCTTCCACCTAATAGGGAGATTGAATTTGTGATCGAGGTCGAACCCGGTACGAAACCAATCTCTATACCGCCATGTCGGATGGCACCTGCTGAACTTAATGAATTGAAAACCCAATTGCAAGAGCTATTGGATAATGGTTTCATTAGAGCAAGACACTCCCCGTGGGGAGCACCAGTTCTTTTTGTGAAAAAGAAAGGTGGGACACTTCGAATGTGCATTGACTATCGTCGACTGAACAAGGTCACAATCAAGAATAGGTATCCTTTGCCTAGGATTGATGACTTGTTTGATCAACTACGAGGAGCAACCGTGTTTTCGAAGATTGACTTGAGGTCGGGGTACCATCAATTGAAGATCAAGAAAGATGACATACCAAAGAGTGCTTTCCGCACAAGGTATGGGCATTTTGAGTTCCTCGTTATGTCGTTTGGGTTAACAAATGCCCCAGCGGCATTCATGGACTTGATGAACCGAGTATTCCATAAATGCTTGGATCGATTCGTGGTCGTGTTCATAGATGACATCTTGATTTACTCAAGGAGTGAAGAAGAACATGAGGAACACTTGATACTTGTCCTCGAGACGCTACAGGGGAAGCAACTCTATGCCAAATTCTCTAAATGTGAATTTTGGCTAAAGGAAATTGGCTTTCTCGGGCATGTAGTTTCGGGATCGGGAATTGCCATTGATAGCAAGAAGATAGAAGCCATTACCGAGTGGGAGAGACCAAAGAACGTCAAGGAAATTCGTAGTTTCCTTGGGTTGGCAGGCTACTACAGAAAGTTCGTGGAGAAGTTCTCCGTTTTGGCATCGCCGTTGACGAAGCTCACTCGAAAGGGAACTAAGTTTATATGGGATGACAAATGTGAGAAAGGATTCATCGAACTGAAGAAGAGGTTGACCGAGGCACCGGTACTTGCATTACCCAAACAGGGTATGGGGTACGATGTCTATAGTGATGCGAGCATCCAAGGGTTTGGGTGTGTGTTGATGCAGGAGGGGAGGGTAATTGCCTATGCTTCGCGACAGTTGAAGAAGCATGAGGTAAATTATCCTACCCATGATCTGGAGCTGGAGCAGTAGTGTTTGCACTGAAGATTTGGAGACATTATCTCTACGGAGAGACGTGTCACATATATACTGATCATAAGAGCTTGAAGTACGTGTTTACTCAGAAAGAGTTAAACATGAGACAGAGACGGTGGATGGGGTTGATAAAGGACTACCATCTAGTTATTGAGTACCATCCAGGCAAGGAAAACGTTGTAGCAGATGCCCTCAGTCGGAAGAGTTCGTCTGGGGCATTGTTGACTAGTTTGAGGGCACTGAGGGCCCAATTGGATGTATCTAACGACGGTGCCTTATTGGCACGATTCGAAGTGAGACCAACCTTACTTGAGGAGATCAAGAAGGGTCAAGAGACGGACACAGAACTTATGAAGGTCCGGGAACGCATGCAAGCGGGACCGGTGGAGGATTTCAGGGAAAGAGACGATGGTCTCTTGTTATTTCGTGACCGAGTGTGTGTACCGTCAGATGATGAGCTCCGAAAGTCCATCTTAGAGGGGGCTCATTCATCGGCTTATGCCATGCACCCTGGGAGCACGAAAATGTACCGTGATTTGAAAGAAAGTTACTGGTGGTCTGGGATGAAGAGGGAAATAGCCGAGTACATCAGTCGATGCCTTACTTATCAACAAGTTAAGGCAGAACATCAGCATCCAGCAGGCTTATTACAACCACTTTCCATCCCTGAATGGAAGTGGGAGCACGTGACTATGGATTTCGTGGTAGGCTTACCACGGACTATCAGGAACTATGACGCGGTTTGGGTTGTTGTTGATAGGCTCACAAAGAGGACACACTTTTTACCTATCAACACTACCTACCCACTCGAGAGGTTAGCCAAATTGTATACGGACGAGATCGTGAGGTTACATGGTGTTCCAGTGACCATTGTATCCGATAGAGACCCACGATTCACGTCACGTTTTTGGCCAAAATTTCAAGAGTCTATGGGAACGAGGTTGAAGTTCAGTACTGCTTTCCACCCACAGACAGATGGACAGTCTGAAAGAGTCATACAGATCTTAGAAGACATGCTGAGGGCGTGTGCATTGGAGTTCCAAGGGAGTTGGGACAACCACTTAGCACTTGTGGAGTTCGCCTATAACAACAGTTATCAGGCAAGCATCGGCATGCCTCCATACGAGGCATTGTATGGGAGGAGGTGTCGTACACCGTTATGCTGGGACGAGGTTGGCATGGCCAAACTCGAGGGTACTGAGTTGGTGGAGATCACCAAGTCAAAGGTAAAGTTGATTCGAGAGAGACTCAAGGCGGCTCAGGATAGACAAAAGAGTTATGCAGATAAGCGCCGGAGAACCTTAGAGTTTAAGGTTGATGACGAGGTATTCTTGAAAGTTTCTCCTTGGAAAGGAATCATACGATTCCAAACCCGAGGAAAGCTTAATCCCCGATACATAGGTCCATTCAGAATTATAGAAAAGATTGGGGCCGTAGCATATCGTCTGCAGTTAACTCCTGAATTAGAGAAGATACATAATGTATTTCATGTATCCATGCTTAAGAAGTATGTGCATGATCACTCTCACGTATTGAAGGAACCACCTGTAGAGGTACGTGAGGATTTGAACTACGCTGTGCAACCTATCAAGGTCACCGATAGGAAGGTGAAGAAACTGAGGAGCAAAGAAGTCCCAATGGTTAAAGTACCTTGGAAGAGCGATCGGGTCGAAGAAGAGACGTGGGAAACAGAGGCTTTGATGAGGAAGCAGTATGCTTTCCTATTCGAGTAGAGCTGTGAATTTCGGGGACGAAATTCCTGTTAAGGGGGGGTGAACTTGTGACACCGCGCCCGAACGTCCTTGAAAATTTGATTTAAAAATTCAAAGTTTATGTATTGGATTTCTGTTTCCCAAACAATTGTAAAACGATTAATGTTTTACGTAATTAATGATCGATTAGTGTACTGTTCGAACTCGTATATTAGTGACGGGCATGCAAATACTATTTGGGTCTTATTAATAAATAAAAGAGCCCAACATTATCCAAATTGTGATACATGACCTTTCAAGACAGTCCGAGTAAGGTCGGACGGCCCAAACGTTATTTTGAGTCCAACCTGCTAAAAATAGCAAGTATTCGAGAATGGCGTTCTAGACCCACTCGGGAGTGACCCACATGGCTAGTAGCCCATTAATATGTATGACAAATGTCAAATAAGTGATAGAATGATTAAAGAAGAATACAAATGCCTATAACCCCATCTTTGGCATTATTGAGCTAAATAATGGGAGTAGGATTTTCCTTCTATAATATCCATCAAGTAAATTATTGGGATGATCATACACATAATGGAGATCAATAATATGATGTAGAGAGTTGACTTGTTCTAAATAAATTAGAATGAGTACAAAGAGACATCTTATGACAAAGAGATCAAAAGTGAGACCCACCCATGTCTAAAAACATCTCATGGAGACCATACCAATTCATTTCACTCCACACAACTTATTCACCCTTATTGAAGGGTCTTGGACACTCCCTTAAGCCCCTCATTCGAACTCCCAAGGATAAGGGAGAAGGAGAGAGCCACACAACCAAGAAAGCAAGAGAAAGGGGAAGCTGCCGCAGGTTCGTTTTCCAGTGCGTAAGGTTACTTGTTTGCTTCATATCTCGAGTTATACACATCCAAATAAGGCGTGCGAGATACCCACAGAAAGCTCTCAAGACGAGGAATCCGTGAAGGTCTGGTTTGCATCAATCGGAGTAGTGTAAGGCTTCCAAATCGTCCGAGCAAAACACAACCTCGCGGAATACGTTTTTGTATTCAAGGTAAGTTTGAATCCAAAACTTTCCTCTCTATTGTCTAAACCATATAAATGATTGAAGAACTATTATACACTGATTGAAGTGTATAAAATGTTATTATAAAGTGACTTTAATTGTTGGAAAAGTTAGATACTAATCTAGACAAAACCTTGAAAGGTTAGGGAACGATTTCGTCGGGAACACCCGTTCTAGGGACTGTTTTTGTGTCCTCGGTTAGGAGTTGAACTAGCACTTTGGAGAGGCTGTTTAACACTCAATTCCAAGCAAGGAATCAGTTCTCAATCTTCCTTGGCCAAAGCTTTGACCATGGGATCAAGAAAGAAAGGTTTGAAGCTCAATTAAGGTGAGGATGACCGACTATATTGCTTATAATTATTGGGTTAATTTCATAAGATTACCTAAATGAATTATATGTGTTTGGCATGATTTATTTATAATATAACAAAATGCCTAAATGAGATTATTATTGTTTATAAGTAAAAGTGCATAATATACAAATTTATGAATAAATTGTGTATGATTATGTATTATGAATACAATGGTATAATAGCGTGTAAACTATAAATGAATTGTGATAAATATACTTTTACCTCATGTAAGGAAGTCATGGAAGGATAAAAGTGATATTTTGATATTAGAACCAAGTTATACTTGAATGTGGAATTAAATTGAAATAGCCAAATTACTATGAAATTGCATTGGCTTATTAAGGGCTTGGATTGTGAAGGATGCACCTTAAGTAGTCTTATGAGATGTCTTAAGGTAGGAATGGGTAACCGCTAAATTACATTAGGAGTAGGCCTCATAGGCTACTCAAGATAGAGAAAACCTAGGCATAGAATTTGCTTAGTGAGTAGTATCGTGACTAGAGGAAGCCTCTAGCACGATGAGGAATGACTGGAGGAAGCCTCCAGCATTCGTGTAGGACGACTAGAGGAAGCCTCTAGCGTAGTGTAAGATGACTAGAGGAAGCCTCTAGCATAATGTAATGTGACTGGAGGAAGCCTCCAGCACAAAGTATGAAAGGTGATTAGAGGAAGCCTCTAACACCGAATGTAGTGACTAGAGTCAGCCTCTAGCACGACAAAACATGACTAGAGGAAGCCTCTAGCATAATGTAATGTGACTGGAGGAAGCCTCCAGCACAAAGTATGAAAGGTGATTAGAGGAAGCCTCTAACACCGAATGTAGTGACTAGAGTCAGCCTCTAGCACGACAAAACATGACTAGAGGAAGCCTCTAGCATGGTAAACTGATATAGATGGGTGTGGCTTGAAGTCACGGGGGAGGGGTTAAATGTTTTCAAAGTAAACATGAGCCTTCGGCCGACTACTTGACTTTATATATAAAGTAAGTATATTTGTAAAGAGGGTAACCACGAGTTATGACCTATATTGTAATATCACCCTATTTGAGGGTCTTGGAAATTGAAACGTTGATTATACTTAGTATAGTTGTCATTGTACTTGTCAAATGCTTCCAAGTACTGACCTCCCCTTCACGGGGGAGGCCACCTCACAGTTTCAGGTAGGACTTGAAGGTTGCTACCACGCCCGTTGCTTCGGGAAGATCAAAGGAGGAGGACGTGGTTCGTGCTTCTTCCGTTTCTGTTTTAAACAATTACAATAATGCTCATGGAAATTATTTTGAATACTATTTGGGGGCTTGTATGCCCATGTTTGCCACGTGTGGCTTGAATACGTGTATTAATGTTTCCGCTGCTTTAAATGAATATTTTACATTATGTTTGTTTATGGATGTACTATGTGTGAATGGTATTCAAGACGCCTAGTATAGTATGTATGAGTTGGACTGCGGTTGACTATTCGTACTGTACGGCGGGTTGTTGACGTGTCCGGTAGGTCCGGGGCGTGACAATTTAATTGGTATCAGAGCCTTAGTCCATAAACTTCATAATGAAGTCTCAAAATTCTCTTTTCAAAATGATTTTTGAAAACCATGAGCAAAAATGTTTTGTACTTAAGAACTTTTGGTGTTTGAGTTGCAAGGTCTCTAATTGTTAAGATGGCGCCCTTAACGATTGGTATGGCGGTGACTTGGCCCAAGAGATGTCTTAAGTGCCTATCTGTCAGTTGACATTTGAAACGAGTCTAATGACTCATTCTAATTATTTCTTTCAGCGATGGAGGGTGATGGTGGTATTATGAATAGGGAGAACTCGGAAGGGTTTGCACCGGGTGGAACCGGGCATGCCAACCGAGAAAAGCCCTTAGGACCAAAGGTGCACGAAACTCTTGAAGCTCAAATCGTGAGTGGTGGTCATGTTAAGACCAAGGAAGAATCACCTTGTTATGGCAAAACTGAACCACTCAAGGCTTCGGGTGACGAAGGAGATGATTTGAGTGATGAGGACCTTGATGGTGCACCCATTGAACAAATGGGCATGGTCATAGATTGGCTTCAACGTGAACGTGTGAGGCTTATACAAAAACGCCAAGCTAGGCAAGCTGAGGGCATACCATTAGTAAGGAAGAGGAAGCGGGGAGACAACGATTCCCAAAGACATTCAAGGAGGACAAACGTTGAGGGTGACAAAACCTTCAGGGCGCAGACACTATCACTTGAGTGGAGTCGAGGCTTGGGTGGCCCGAACTCGAGGTCAAAAGGTTCGAGGGTACCTAAGTGCAACAATTGCAAGAAACACCACTCGGGTAAGTGTCAGGACCCTCCCAGGTGCTATCAATGCACAGAGGTCGGGCACACGAGAGTGAGTTGCCCACAAATTGTGCAAAACCAAACTTCGGGGTCAAGTGGTGGAACTACAAGAAATGAAAACCAAACCGAGGTTTCTCAAGGGAGCAGGGGACATGGGGGAGCAAGCACGAGCAACGCGCCATCCGTGAACCAAGGAAGGACCCAAGCTAGGGTCTATGCGATGACGGAGGCGGATGCTCAAGCTAACCTGGATTCCGTTGAAGGTAGTACCTCTTGTATACTTGTTTTTTATCCTTAATTAGTCCATAAATTGAGGTTGCTAGTCGTTGGGATCGTTGCACGAAGCTTGGGGGTCAAACGGAGCGAAAATCGGGTGAAAGACGGCTGATTTTTTGCCAACGCACACCAGGCTGGACCATACGCACGGCCGTGCGTTGTCCGTGCGTTGGTCCGTGCGTTGGTGGCAGTAGCAACCGGGAAGAAATTGCTATACGCACGGACGTGCGTTGTCCGTGCGTTGGTCCGTGCGTTGGTGGCAGTAGCTCCGTTTTGAGGTTATAAGACACGCACGCCGTGCGTACCTCCTAGGCACGCCGTGCGTACCTCCTGGACAGCCCAAAGTCGACTTTGTTTGCGCCGTATTGCAACGTTAAGACCCGTTCTTGATCTCAAACACGTGTGTGAACATAATAAACCTCTCTAAATGAGTAGGGAGGGTAGGAAAGATGTCTTACATGGTTCATGAATGTAGGGACACTAAAGATTAATGGGAAGGATGCGCGAATCCTTATCGATACCGGGGCGCAACGTTCATTTGTGAATGAAGCGTTCGCCAAGAGTTTGGAAGTGCAATCCGCACCATTGATGCAAACCTTAGTGGTATCAACACCACTAGGGGATGACGTGGAAACAACTCGTTACAATCCATCTTGTGGGGTGGAAGTTAATGGTCAAACATTGACGTGTGACTTCGTACCGCCGAGCATGATTGAATTCGATGCAATCCTAGGGTTGGATTGGCTAGAAAGGAACCATGCTAGGGTAGATTGCTACACGAAGGTTCTTAAACTCGAAGGCAATGATGGGGAGACCCTACGCTTCGAGGGCGATCGAGGGAGATCAAACAGATGTATCATATTCGTCGTGAGAGCGAGAAGTAGGATGAGAAAGGGATGCCACGCATATCTAGCATACGTGGTTGACATAACCAAAGAGGAAACGAACATCGATGATGTGAGGGTGGTTTGTAAGTACCCGGATGTTTTCCCTAAAGACATACCGGGGCTTCCACCTAATAGGGAGATTGAATTTGTGATCGAGGTCGAACCCGGTACGAAACCAATCTCTATACCGCCATGTCGGATGGCACCTGCTGAACTTAATGAATTGAAAACCCAATTGCAAGAGCTATTGGATAATGGTTTCATTAGAGCAAGACACTCCCCGTGGGGAGCACCAGTTCTTTTTGTGAAAAAGAAAGGTGGGACACTTCGAATGTGCATTGACTATCGTCGACTGAACAAGGTCACAATCAAGAATAGGTATCCTTTGCCTAGGATTGATGACTTGTTTGATCAACTACGAGGAGCAACCGTGTTTTCGAAGATTGACTTGAGGTCGGGGTACCATCAATTGAAGATCAAGAAAGATGACATACCAAAGAGTGCTTTCCGCACAAGGTATGGGCATTTTGAGTTCCTCGTTATGTCGTTTGGGTTAACAAATGCCCCAGCGGCATTCATGGACTTGATGAACCGAGTATTCCATAAATGCTTGGATCGATTCGTGGTCGTGTTCATAGATGACATCTTGATTTACTCAAGGAGTGAAGAAGAACATGAGGAACACTTGATACTTGTCCTCGAGACGCTACAGGGGAAGCAACTCTATGCCAAATTCTCTAAATGTGAATTTTGGCTAAAGGAAATTGGCTTTCTCGGGCATGTAGTTTCGGGATCGGGAATTGCCATTGATAGCAAGAAGATAGAAGCCATTACCGAGTGGGAGAGACCAAAGAACGTCAAGGAAATTCGTAGTTTCCTTGGGTTGGCAGGCTACTACAGAAAGTTCGTGGAGAAGTTCTCCGTTTTGGCATCGCCGTTGACGAAGCTCACTCGAAAGGGAACTAAGTTTATATGGGATGACAAATGTGAGAAAGGATTCATCGAACTGAAGAAGAGGTTGACCGAGGCACCGGTACTTGCATTACCCAAACAGGGTATGGGGTACGATGTCTATAGTGATGCGAGCATCCAAGGGTTTGGGTGTGTGTTGATGCAGGAGGGGAGGGTAATTGCCTATGCTTCGCGACAGTTGAAGAAGCATGAGGTAAATTATCCTACCCATGATCTGGAGCTGGAGCAGTAGTGTTTGCACTGAAGATTTGGAGACATTATCTCTACGGAGAGACGTGTCACATATATACTGATCATAAGAGCTTGAAGTACGTGTTTACTCAGAAAGAGTTAAACATGAGACAGAGACGGTGGATGGGGTTGATAAAGGACTACCATCTAGTTATTGAGTACCATCCAGGCAAGGAAAACGTTGTAGCAGATGCCCTCAGTCGGAAGAGTTCGTCTGGGGCATTGTTGACTAGTTTGAGGGCACTGAGGGCCCAATTGGATGTATCTAACGACGGTGCCTTATTGGCACGATTCGAAGTGAGACCAACCTTACTTGAGGAGATCAAGAAGGGTCAAGAGACGGACACAGAACTTATGAAGGTCCGGGAACGCATGCAAGCGGGACCGGTGGAGGATTTCAGGGAAAGAGACGATGGTCTCTTGTTATTTCGTGACCGAGTGTGTGTACCGTCAGATGATGAGCTCCGAAAGTCCATCTTAGAGGGGGCTCATTCATCGGCTTATGCCATGCACCCTGGGAGCACGAAAATGTACCGTGATTTGAAAGAAAGTTACTGGTGGTCTGGGATGAAGAGGGAAATAGCCGAGTACATCAGTCGATGCCTTACTTATCAACAAGTTAAGGCAGAACATCAGCATCCAGCAGGCTTATTACAACCACTTTCCATCCCTGAATGGAAGTGGGAGCACGTGACTATGGATTTCGTGGTAGGCTTACCACGGACTATCAGGAACTATGACGCGGTTTGGGTTGTTGTTGATAGGCTCACAAAGAGGACACACTTTTTACCTATCAACACTACCTACCCACTCGAGAGGTTAGCCAAATTGTATACGGACGAGATCGTGAGGTTACATGGTGTTCCAGTGACCATTGTATCCGATAGAGACCCACGATTCACGTCACGTTTTTGGCCAAAATTTCAAGAGTCTATGGGAACGAGGTTGAAGTTCAGTACTGCTTTCCACCCACAGACAGATGGACAGTCTGAAAGAGTCATACAGATCTTAGAAGACATGCTGAGGGCGTGTGCATTGGAGTTCCAAGGGAGTTGGGACAACCACTTAGCACTTGTGGAGTTCGCCTATAACAACAGTTATCAGGCAAGCATCGGCATGCCTCCATACGAGGCATTGTATGGGAGGAGGTGTCGTACACCGTTATGCTGGGACGAGGTTGGCATGGCCAAACTCGAGGGTACTGAGTTGGTGGAGATCACCAAGTCAAAGGTAAAGTTGATTCGAGAGAGACTCAAGGCGGCTCAGGATAGACAAAAGAGTTATGCAGATAAGCGCCGGAGAACCTTAGAGTTTAAGGTTGATGACGAGGTATTCTTGAAAGTTTCTCCTTGGAAAGGAATCATACGATTCCAAACCCGAGGAAAGCTTAATCCCCGATACATAGGTCCATTCAGAATTATAGAAAAGATTGGGGCCGTAGCATATCGTCTGCAGTTAACTCCTGAATTAGAGAAGATACATAATGTATTTCATGTATCCATGCTTAAGAAGTATGTGCATGATCACTCTCACGTATTGAAGGAACCACCTGTAGAGGTACGTGAGGATTTGAACTACGCTGTGCAACCTATCAAGGTCACCGATAGGAAGGTGAAGAAACTGAGGAGCAAAGAAGTCCCAATGGTTAAAGTACCTTGGAAGAGCGATCGGGTCGAAGAAGAGACGTGGGAAACAGAGGCTTTGATGAGGAAGCAGTATGCTTTCCTATTCGAGTAGAGCTGTGAATTTCGGGGACGAAATTCCTGTTAAGGGGGGGTGAACTTGTGACACCGCGCCCGAACGTCCTTGAAAATTTGATTTAAAAATTCAAAGTTTATGTATTGGATTTCTGTTTCCCAAACAATTGTAAAACGATTAATGTTTTACGTAATTAATGATCGATTAGTGTACTGTTCGAACTCGTATATTAGTGACGGGCATGCAAATACTATTTGGGTCTTATTAATAAATAAAAGAGCCCAACATTATCCAAATTGTGATACATGACCTTTCAAGACAGTCCGAGTAAGGTCGGACGGCCCAAACGTTATTTTGAGTCCAACCTGCTAAAAATAGCAAGTATTCGAGAATGGCGTTCTAGACCCACTCGGGAGTGACCCACATGGCTAGTAGCCCATTAATATGTATGACAAATGTCAAATAAGTGATAGAATGATTAAAGAAGAATACAAATGCCTATAACCCCATCTTTGGCATTATTGAGCTAAATAATGGGAGTAGGATTTTCCTTCTATAATATCCATCAAGTAAATTATTGGGATGATCATACACATAATGGAGATCAATAATATGATGTAGAGAGTTGACTTGTTCTAAATAAATTAGAATGAGTACAAAGAGACATCTTATGACAAAGAGATCAAAAGTGAGACCCACCCATGTCTAAAAACATCTCATGGAGACCATACCAATTCATTTCACTCCACACAACTTATTCACCCTTATTGAAGGGTCTTGGACACTCCCTTAAGCCCCTCATTCGAACTCCCAAGGATAAGGGAGAAGGAGAGAGCCACACAACCAAGAAAGCAAGAGAAAGGGGAAGCTGCCGCAGGTTCGTTTTCCAGTGCGTAAGGTTACTTGTTTGCTTCATATCTCGAGTTATACACATCCAAATAAGGCGTGCGAGATACCCACAGAAAGCTCTCAAGACGAGGAATCCGTGAAGGTCTGGTTTGCATCAATCGGAGTAGTGTAAGGCTTCCAAATCGTCCGAGCAAAACACAACCTCGCGGAATACGTTTTTGTATTCAAGGTAAGTTTGAATCCAAAACTTTCCTCTCTATTGTCTAAACCATATAAATGATTGAAGAACTATTATACACTGATTGAAGTGTATAAAATGTTATTATAAAGTGACTTTAATTGTTGGAAAAGTTAGATACTAATCTAGACAAAACCTTGAAAGGTTAGGGAACGATTTCGTCGGGAACACCCGTTCTAGGGACTGTTTTTGTGTCCTCGGTTAGGAGTTGAACTAGCACTTTGGAGAGGCTGTTTAACACTCAATTCCAAGCAAGGAATCAGTTCTCAATCTTCCTTGGCCAAAGCTTTGACCATGGGATCAAGAAAGAAAGGTTTGAAGCTCAATTAAGGTGAGGATGACCGACTATATTGCTTATAATTATTGGGTTAATTTCATAAGATTACCTAAATGAATTATATGTGTTTGGCATGATTTATTTATAATATAACAAAATGCCTAAATGAGATTATTATTGTTTATAAGTAAAAGTGCATAATATACAAATTTATGAATAAATTGTGTATGATTATGTATTATGAATACAATGGTATAATAGCGTGTAAACTATAAATGAATTGTGATAAATATACTTTTACCTCATGTAAGGAAGTCATGGAAGGATAAAAGTGATATTTTGATATTAGAACCAAGTTATACTTGAATGTGGAATTAAATTGAAATAGCCAAATTACTATGAAATTGCATTGGCTTATTAAGGGCTTGGATTGTGAAGGATGCACCTTAAGTAGTCTTATGAGATGTCTTAAGGTAGGAATGGGTAACCGCTAAATTACATTAGGAGTAGGCCTCATAGGCTACTCAAGATAGAGAAAACCTAGGCATAGAATTTGCTTAGTGAGTAGTATCGTGACTAGAGGAAGCCTCTAGCACGATGAGGAATGACTGGAGGAAGCCTCCAGCATTCGTGTAGGACGACTAGAGGAAGCCTCTAGCGTAGTGTAAGATGACTAGAGGAAGCCTCTAGCATAATGTAATGTGACTGGAGGAAGCCTCCAGCACAAAGTATGAAAGGTGATTAGAGGAAGCCTCTAACACCGAATGTAGTGACTAGAGTCAGCCTCTAGCACGACAAAACATGACTAGAGGAAGCCTCTAGCATAATGTAATGTGACTGGAGGAAGCCTCCAGCACAAAGTATGAAAGGTGATTAGAGGAAGCCTCTAACACCGAATGTAGTGACTAGAGTCAGCCTCTAGCACGACAAAACATGACTAGAGGAAGCCTCTAGCATGGTAAACTGATATAGATGGGTGTGGCTTGAAGTCACGGGGGAGGGGTTAAATGTTTTCAAAGTAAACATGAGCCTTCGGCCGACTACTTGACTTTATATATAAAGTAAGTATATTTGTAAAGAGGGTAACCACGAGTTATGACCTATATTGTAATATCACCCTATTTGAGGGTCTTGGAAATTGAAACGTTGATTATACTTAGTATAGTTGTCATTGTACTTGTCAAATGCTTCCAAGTACTGACCTCCCCTTCACGGGGGAGGCCACCTCACAGTTTCAGGTAGGACTTGAAGGTTGCTACCACGCCCGTTGCTTCGGGAAGATCAAAGGAGGAGGACGTGGTTCGTGCTTCTTCCGTTTCTGTTTTAAACAATTACAATAATGCTCATGGAAATTATTTTGAATACTATTTGGGGGCTTGTATGCCCATGTTTGCCACGTGTGGCTTGAATACGTGTATTAATGTTTCCGCTGCTTTAAATGAATATTTTACATTATGTTTGTTTATGGATGTACTATGTGTGAATGGTATTCAAGACGCCTAGTATAGTATGTATGAGTTGGACTGCGGTTGACTATTCGTACTGTACGGCGGGTTGTTGACGTGTCCTGTAGGTCCGGGGCGTGACACGACTACTATACCACTGTTTTGTAATTTTATATTATGCCGCCCTTAAAAATGTAAAAAAAGAAGAAGATAAGAGCATCTTGAGTCGGCCCAAGTTATGTCTTTTGACTGGGTTGATCTTTTGCTCAAAGATGTTAGGAGAAGCTATTATGCTGATTTATTTGACTTTCCTAATTTGCGTTTTTAATTTTCTAGAGGTATGTCTCTGAGAGAGGTTTGGTCCGCTCCCCCTCTCTTCTGTATTCCTCGCTATATTAATAAAATATAGGTAACTGACCTCCGGCATTTGCCCCAGTGATTTTGGTGGTTTGCCTTCTGAGGCCAAAAAAAGAAGAAGGTAAGAGCAGACTAATCAACTTTGCTACTAAAACAAGTCACAAAACTTTGCCATATAGAAAATTGGTCTAAGTTGAATAAAACCTAAGTACATTGCAAGACATTTTCAAATTCTTGTATAGGGAAAACGTGTTTTAGAATTCTAAAATAATTGTACTGATTTTATTTCTTGAATAGGCGTAATTAGTCTCAAATTTGAAAAAATGTTATATGTTTAAATTAAAGGCTTAAAGCCTAATAATGTAAAAATATGATAATAATTAACTCCTTTTTTGAAAAATAAAACATAAAACATACTCCGCGCGTATTAGAATCACGAAGCATTTTTACTCATTTTAGCACAATTTTTAACAATATTATCAGAGCAAAAAGATAACTAGTCTTACTAATAAATTTAGTCCATGTTTTATTGGATGTTTTTTTAAAAGGGAGCTTTTTCTTGTACGCACTATTATACCCATTATGTTTTCATAGACATATTTTTGTCTATGATCAAAATTCACAGAAAAAAGAAAAATCCTCACAGACATGATGAGTACAAAAGTGACTAAATAGTGAGTACAATTTTTTTTCGTTTTTAAAATGATTAAAAATAAACTGGCAATTCAAACCAGGGAAACGTGCCCAACGTTCTGAAAAAAGCATCGGTTTTGGTAAGGCGGGACCCGCAGGAACACACTTGTCCACATACTCTAGCAGTCTAGTGTAATCTGGCATGCATGGATTGCCTTTTCTCGTGACCATCCAAATTAAACAATTAATTAATGAGTATCTGAATTATGTTACATAAAAATTTAACCAAAAATGGGGTTACGTTACGTTTCAACACATAAGAAATG